TTTTTTTTTTTTTGAGTTATAGTCAGTTTACAATGTTGTGTCAATTTCCAGTGTAGAGCACAATTTTTCAGTTATACATGAACATACATATATTCATTGTCACACAACCCATAGTTTTTTTAAGAATGCTGATTGAAATACCTCATTCTGGCATTTAAGATACTCTATCATCTTCCCCATTTCTTTCCCCCACTTTCACTTTGCCGAGTAAAATCATCCCCCAAATAAGAGTCAGTCAGCTCCGTGTCCGCTGAGCTCACCAAATCCGTTCCCTCTTCTTGGGTCTGGGAGGCGCCTTCCCACCTCGGCCTGGCCTGTGTGAGTTACCCTAGCCTGAGCTCCCTTGCCCCCTTCCACGTGTAGGCTGGAATGCCCCCATCAGTTGTCACTTGCCATATAATACCTTGCATTTGTTTGTAAATTATGAGTGATATGTGATCCAGATAGCATTTAATCTTCAAGTGCCGGGCAGTTCTCAGTTAAATGTGATTCCGTATTTGTCCAAGCTGACTGAGCCCCACAACGCTGGCAGGTCCTGGGCCACCTTCAAGCCGCGCGGTGAGCCGTAGGTTAGGTGCTTTATTTCTTCTTCACAGTGAGTGGTTACCACCCGCCTGTTTGCAGTAGGCAGAAAGTGTCCCCATGATAGGGTTCCCTTTGGAGACACCCTGCTGGGGGCGGGGAGATCAGTAAAGCATGAGGCATCGTTGAGCCTGTGGGCTCGGTCCCGGCACTTGTCGTCCTGAGCGTGTGTGGGAGGTGGTCGACAACTGTCAGTAATTTTATTCATCTTATGTTCAGCCATATCAGTGGGAACAAAATTGGCTGGGAGAAGACAGGAAGCCATTCAGAGCCTCAAGCACGGGGAGACCCAGGAGACCAAACAAAGGTAGTAACTCTATGCCTTTTATTCTTTCAAATTCTCATTCTCTCAGCATGTGACACTAGGGATTGGTTTAAAGTTAAATGCTCTGTCTTTTTTTAAGCATATTATGACTAATATATTGGCAGGGGTGAGAGGGGAGGGGGCTCACAGACACTGGCCGGGGTGAGAGGGGAGGGGCTCACAGATACTGGCAGGGGTGAGAGGGGAGGGGGCTCACAGATAACTGGCAGGGGTGAGAGGGGAGGGGGCTCACAGGCGCTGGCCGGGATGACAGGGGAGGGGGTTCACAGACACTGGTTGGGGTGAGAGGAGAGGGGGACTCACAGACACTGGCCGGGGTGAGAGGAGAGGGGGCTCACAGGCGCTGGCAGGGGTGAGAGGGGA